AATGAACATTGGCGTGTAAGTATCCGTTTAGATACCTACTGTCAGTTCATTTGTGTGGCACTGCTGGGTCATATGATAATTCTGTGCTTAATTTTTTGAAGAATCGCCAAACTGTTTTCCACAATGGCTACACCTCTTTATCTTCCCACCACCAGTGCACTAATGTCCAAATTCTTCCACATCCTCATTAGCACTTGTTATTTTCTGCTTGCTTTGTTTTTTATAATGGCCATCCTAATGGTTATTTTTTATAATGACCATCCTAATGGTCATGTGGTTTGATTTGTATTTTCCTAACTACTAGTGATATTGAGCATCTTTCCATGTGTGGTCTTTTGTGTATATTCTTGAAATAAATATCCTTACTCAGTTTTGAATTGGGCTTTTTGTTGTTTTGTTGATAAGTTGTAGAAGTTCTTTATGTATTCTGGATATTAATCCCTTACAGATTTATGATTTGCCAGACTTTTCTCTTATTCCATGGGTTACATTTTCACTCTATTGACTGTGTCTTTTTATGCACAATTTTTTTTTAATTTTGATAAAGAGAAAATTATCTATTTTATTTTGTCACTTACACTTTTAGTGTTTAGTTAAGGTTCATACCTTCTTATGTTTTCTACTTTTTAGTTTGAAAAATTTTATACAAAAGGATTTGTTAAACAGTAGTCAGACTGATTATGACTGTACCCAGCCTCTACCATTCACATGCAATGTAATTTTTTTGTTTGTTTGTTTGTTTAATATGGGTCTTATTCTGTTCCCCAGGCTGGAGTGCCGTGGCATGATCACAGCTCACCACAGATTCGATCTCCTGGGCTCAGATGATTCTTCCACCTCAGAGCTGGGACTACAGGTGCTCACCAACACACCCAGCTAATTTTTTAATTTTTTGAGAGACAAGGTTTTGCTTTGTTTCCCGGGCTGATCTTGAACTCCTGGGCTCAAGCAGTCCTCCCACTTCAACCTCTCGAAGTGCTAGGGTTACAAGCGTGAGCCACTGTCCTGGCCTATGTGATTTTAAGGCATAGCCTTAAACATTTGGGATTTCATTTTCTTTATCTTTAAAGGGAATCATAATGCTTTTACTTCATGGATGTATAAGAATCGATATGCCATTAAATATAAAATGCTTAAAACAATTCCTGACACTGAACAAAATTTGCCAGTTAATATATCATTATCATCATTAACAATAACAACAAAGAACAGCAACATAATATATCATTGTAACTCATTAAAACATGTCCTTATTTTGTGTGTCTTATCATTTTCATCATAATTAGTATTATAGAGAAAGTTATTTTAAGCAATTATTTGTTTCTGATTGTCTCTTAGAATACTTTCCTAGAAATCAATTTTTAGACTGCCTTAATTCATTTCTGCAGCTAAAAAACAAAAAACAAACAAACAGAAAACATAGACTGGGTAATTTATAAACAATAGAAATTAGACCAATGTGGTGGCTCATGCCTGTAATCCCAGCATTTTGGGAGGATGAGGCGGAAGGAAGCCTGCAGTGAAATTGCTTCCCACAATAAGTGAACCACCAATAATGGGAAAATTCAAGATCAACCTAGGCAATATAGCAAGACCTCAACTCTCAAAAAAAAAAAATTCAAAAAAGAAATTAGCCAGCCGGGTTCGGTGGCTCAGCCTGTAATCCCGCGCTTTGGGAGGCTGAGGTAAGTGGATTGCCTGAACCCGTGGGTTCGAGACCCGCCTGGGCAGCGAGATCTCATCTCTACAATAAATCAGAAAATCAGCCGGGCATGATAGTGCATGCCTGTAGTTCCAGCTACTCAGAAGGCTGAGGCGGAAGGATCGCCGGAGCCCAGCAGGTCAAGGCTGCCATGGCTGGGAGCGGCCACTGCCCTCCAGTCTGGGCGACAGAGTGAGACTCCAACTCAAAAAAAAAAAAGAAAGAAAGAAATTAGCCAAGCATGGTGGTGTGTGCCTGTAGTCCCAGCTATTCAGGAGGATGAGGAGAAAGGATTACCTGAGCCCAGGAGTTCGGGGCTGCAGTGAGCTGTGATCGTGCCACTGTACTCCAGCCTGGGCAACAGAATGATATGCCAAGTCAAAAAATAAACAAACAAACAAGCTATAGAAATTGATTTATCATGGTTCTGGAGACTAGGAAGTTCACAGTCAAGGCATCAGCAGGACCGGTGTCTGGTAAAGGCTGCTCTCTACTTCCAAAACGGTGCCTTGTTGTCACATCCAGCAGGGAGGAACCTTGTGTCCTCACACGGTGGAAGGAACGTCAGGGGACGAAGCCACTTTGTCAAGCACTTTTATAAATGCCCTAAACCCGTCCATGAAGGCTCCACCCTCATGCCTTAATCACTTCCTGAAGGCCCAACTTCATCATATTATCCCATTGGCCACTGAATTTCAACTCCTGAATTTGGGGATTCATGGGTATAAAGCGCATTAAGAATATTGAAGCCTGCAGTGAAACTGCTCTCCACAATAAGTAAACCACCAATGAAAGGAAAATTAAAAAGTATAATCATATTACTGTATTTTTACGACAACTGGTTTGAAGATGAAAATATGTAACTTTGCCCATTTGATAGGCATAAAGTGGTATAAAATGCTCACATTTCAATTTGAAGTTGCAAGTGATTTCATAGATTCCTTCTTCTTTTATTTCTGTGAACTCTGTCCTTAGCTATTGATTTATAAGTGGTTGATGTATCAATTTATCCCTGTAATTTTCATATATTTTAAAACATTTTCCCAGTTTTTCTCTTCTTTTTAATCACACTTTATTATGCATGAGGAATTGTTAATGAATTGAATTTAACCAATTTGACTTTTTACTTGCTTATGAAATCCTAAGACCACTCAAAAATACAGAATTTCAATTATAACTTTATTAATTGCTCAGCTATTTAGAACTTACTTTGTTTGTATATAAAGATTGGTAAACAACTTTATACCCTCCAAATGGTTACCTATTTTTCATGACACCGTTCCGCAAATCAGTCTCAATGTTCCACAAAATTTACAATACCAAATTATCATATATTCTATTTTTAGTTATAATATGATGATTTTCTTTCTTTGCTTTTTTTATTTATCAGGTTATTTGTATGCTCACAATTTCTTAATTCTTTATCATAGAAGATAATTTTTATTACTACACAGAATGCATTGCATATACATGCTGTAACTTTTGCACAAATGAACTTTTCTGTAACATACGTATGCATGATGAACTTTTCAATTATATAGCTTTCCCCTTATTACTCCACATGAATTTCAAAATATCTTTTTTGATAATTTATGTTACTTATTATAATTATACCAATAAATTGGATGTGGTAACATTTAGCAGTTTTTTAATACTTATCTTTTTTCCCATCAAGTTCATGGGTTCTTTTACCTGGTTTCTGTGTATTTCTCTCTGGATATTCCTAAAATATCATAGTTGTGTCACTATTTTGGGTAGAATAAGCCCTCTTTTTTTTTTTTTTTTTTTTGAGTTGGAGTCTCACTCTGTCGCCCAGGCTGGAGTGCAGTGGCACGCTCACGGCCACCGCAGCCTGGACCTGCTGGGCTCAGGTGATCCTTCTGCCTCAGCCTTCTATGTAACTGGAACCACAGGTGCACACCCAGCTAATTTTTTAATTTATTGTAGAGATAAGATCTCACCAAGTTGCCCAGGCTGGTCTTGAACCGGCGAGCTCAGGCAATCTTCTCCCCTTCACTTCCCAAAGTGCTGGGATTACAGGTGTGAGCCACCGCGCCTGGCCTCCTCTTAATATGTTCTATTTACTTGAACACTTTTTTTCTTGTACTTTGTTCCTAAATGATGAGAGTATACCTGCTTTGCTTCGTCCCTTGAAGTGACATGTTAAGTGTCAGTAAAGGCCTCTGAATTTGACAGTAAAGACAAAGGTTTGGAACGATAGCAGGCAAGGTGGCAGCACGATGACTTTCCCAAGGCTCACGCCTTGGGAGAAAACAGGAGTGACACAGGGGCGAGACTGGAAGACCCTTATAACTGCCAGGTCTGCCCCAAAGAGCAGAATACACTTTCCTCCGCATTTCCAAGTTCCTGTTTTTTCACCTGCAAACTTTATGATGCTGGGAGCAAATAATCTCTTAGTTCCCTTTGAGAACCAACAGTCTTGGAGAGCCTGGTCCCAGGAGACGTGCTGAGCGGATGGTAACATTGTGTCTTTCAGGTTGCCCCAGGCCACTCCGTGGGAAAATGTGGCAGTGAACTGAGATGGTCCGAGCTGTCGCGGCCTTGTCCCCTTGCAGACAGTGTGGATTGTAGACAATCCCAGCTGGCGTGTTGAGATTTGTTCCAAGTTCCTCCCCTGCATCTGGGGAACGCTTGCGGTCCCCTCCAGACCGTCCCCTTGGGGACGTGTCCCCACCTTTCCAAGTCTCCGCGAGTGAGAGGAGAGGCCATGCCCTTGACCCGGCTCCAGAAGAGAGGGCTGTTGAGGAAGGGGTGGTCGTGCACTGCAGTTGGGACCATGTCCCTCAGGCCTGTGGTGACCCCCTTTCTCACTGTGATCTGGTGATAGTTCCACTACTAAAATAGAATAGCTGAGCAACATCATTCTTTATCAGTGTTACATTCAGAGCTGAAGGAGAGGTAGGCTACTCCAGGGACATGTTCCTTGTGTGTCTACTTGCGCAGGATGAGTCACTCCAAGGAACATGGACAGGAAGAGAAAACGTGTTTCTTTCAAGCCAGAACTTCTTCCCCATGTTGTGGTTGGTTTATTATATATATATATAACTTTTTTGGTTTTGCTTTTACTTATTTCTGTTTTTGCATTTCAAAGAATCCAGTCCGGTTTTCCTGTAGAATGTTCCAGATTCGGTATTTGAATAGTTATTTATGATTAGAGTCAGGTGAGACATTTGGCAAGAATGTTACAAAGGGGCTGTTCCGGGCTGCTGCTTGCCTCACCCCATCTCCTTGCCCTGGTCAGCCCCTTGAGGACATCAGCACCAGTTCCAGGGTCCTAATGGCAGCTGAGCCACTGACAGAACTGGAGGCGGCCATGAGACAGTGGTCACCACCTTCTTCACTTTTGCAGCACGGGAGGGCCGGAAGGGCAGCCTCAGCTTCAACGAGTTTAAGGAGCTGGTCACTCAGCAGTTGCCTCATCTGCTCAAGGATGTGGGCAGTCTAGATGAGAAGATGAAGAGCTTAGATGTGAATCAGGACTCCGAACTCAAGTTCAATGAGTACTGGAGACTGATGAGGGAGCTGGCTAAGGAAATCAAGAAGGAGAAAGCCCTGGAGATCCGGAAGAAGTAAAGCCTGCTGGCTGGGATGGGAGGTCCCGAGCAGAAGCCCACTCTCCCCAGATAAAGTGTCCTCCTTGAAAAAAAAAACAAAGGGGCTGGTATCCTTCTGTTTATTGAAGGATATTTTCATAGGATAGAGAATTTCATGTTACCAGTTCTTTGAGCATTTGGAAACTATAAAGTTCCTTGCCAGTCTTTCCAAGCAAACAAAATAAATTCTAAAAAGCTGAACAATTGATAAAGTTATAATTGAAATTCTGTGGGCTTGTTGTTTTTTTTTTTTTAGAAGTCGTAAGATTTCAAGCAGATTTTTAAAGACAGAGGAAAAAATAAATGGATTAAATTAAAATCACTTAAAATTCTTCATGCACAATGAAGCATGATTTTAAGAAAAGACAAACTAGGACAATACTTTTAAAATATATATAAAGTACAGGGTTGAGGTCGGGCACAGTGGCTCAAGCCTGTCATCCCAGCACTTTGGGAGACTGAGGCGAGAGGATTGCCTGAGCTCAGGGGTTCGACACCAGCCTAGGCAACTTGGTGAGACCTCATCTGTACAACAAATCAAAAATTAGCCAGATGTGGTAGCACAGGCCTGTAGTTCCAGCTACTTGGAAGGCTGAGGCAGGAGGATCGCCGGAGTCCAGCAGGTCGAGGCTGCGGTGACATGAGCGTGCAACAGAGTGAGACGAGATTCCAACTCAAAAAAAAAAAGAAAAGAAAGAAAGAAAAGAAATACAGGGTTAAGTTATTACATGGAACAGCTAAAGACAGAATTCATAGAAATTTTTTAAAAGGAACCAATGAAATCACTTGCAACTTCAAATTGAAATCTGAACAGTTTGTAACACTATGCCTATCAATATGGCAAAGTAACATTCTAATCTTCACACCTGTTGTAAAAATACAGTAATGATACTACAAGTATTATCATTCTCTTAAAAGTATTTTGATTATACTCTTGTGTTTTACTGTTATTGGTGGTTCACTTATTTTGGAGAGCAATTTGGCTGCCGGCTTTAAAATTCTTAGACTGCTTTATACCCACTCATCCCAAAAGTTGATCTGTAAAAAAGTATTCCAAGAAATCATCAGAGGCACAAATAATTGCTTTAAATAATATTCACTATAACATTAATGTGATGACACACTGTAGTAGCTATAAGTATAGTCTCCCTTCTAAAGATAAAACAAAATTCAAAGTGATAAGGATCGTTGCTTGAAGTCGCCTTACGATGGAAGGTTTCTTCCAGCATCTCGTTAGAATTGTCCTCCTCTAGAGAAGGCAGCATTTCTCGTCAGCATTTTCAAGGTTTCAGAAATCTGATCATGGTGTGTGTGCACACGGGTGCATTTGGATTTTCCCTCTCAGTGGCTGATTTATGTCCTTGATCTTGTATCTTTCACCATGTTTGTGACATTTTTAGCCACTGTCTTTTCTAAAGTGTTTTCATTCTTATTCTCTTTCTCCTCTTGTTCTGGAGGTCCAATCGTTTTGGAATGTTAGAACTTTTGTTATCGTCCCACAGGCTCTGTTCATTTTTAGCTCATCTATTTTCTCCTTTATTCTAATAGGACAGGGTTTTTTGTTTGTTTATTTTTTGTTTTTATTTTGTTTTGACTCCAAAGGCTGGAGTGCAGTGGCATGATCACAGCTCACCACAGCCTCCAGCTCCTGGACTCAGGCTCTCCTTCTATCCCAGTCTCCCAAGTAGCTGGGACTACAGGTGCATGACACCATGCCTGGCTTATTTTTTTGGCATTTTTGTTTGATTGGTTTATCTTGCTTTTTTTGGTTTTTTGTTTTTGGTAGAGATAAAGTCTCACTATGTTGCCCACGCTGGTCTCGAACTCCTGGACTCAGAGACCAGCCTTCCAAACTTCTAGGATCACACCATGCCCAGCTGCAATGGGACAATTTCTATTGAGCTTCTCTTTGTGTTCAATGATCTTTCCTCTGTCATCTTCATTCTTCTATTGACCCCATCAGTGCAACTTATTTCTATTATTTTTTTCACTTCTGAAGCTTCCCTTGTGTTCTTCCTGGTATCTTTCTTGTCTTTGTCATGAATTTACATTTTTCATGTGTTTCAAGACTGTCTGCAATTGTTTAGGGGGGCATTGTTATGATAGCTTCTTTAAAATCCTTGTCAGATAATTCTAACATCTATGCCATCTAGGTGGTAGTGTCTGAAAATTGTACTTTCTTCTGCAAGTTAATAGTTTCATAGTCCTTGGTATGATGAGTAATTCTGTATCCTAGATGTTTTGAGTATTGTATCTTGAGACTGGTTACCAGTTAAAGTTAAACCTTTTATTTTTGCAGAGAGCCAACTGTTTAAGTTCCTGGTGCCATTCTGGTTCACTTCTGTAAACCATGATACACTGTCCCTTGTTTTTTAAACCCTTTGCAGTGGTAGTCTGATTTTCTCCGCATGTGTGCTTCCCAGAATCTGATCTCAAACCTGGCTGTCCCAGACCAGTGCTAAATTCTCAAACATTTTCCTGTGTTGTTTCCGGTCAATTTCACGCATGGACTGCTCAGAAGCCTGCCTGGAATGTCATGCACACATTACAGGATAATTCTCGGTTTTCAGGGGTCAACTCAAATATTACCTGCTCAGCAAGGTTTTCCCTAATCTCTTGATTCTTCTAGTACCCTCCTCTGCCTCATATAATATTCTCATAATGTTTAATCACAATTTATATATTTGTTTACTTGTCACTATTCTATCTTTTCACTTCTTCACCACTAAAGTATTAACTACATAAAGATAAGGAACTTTTTGAAACTATTCGGCACCAAACACAGTGCTGGGCAAATATATATATTCAACATACATTCTGCCAAATAACTAAATAGGAGGAATCTATTGCAAATATGTGTTTCATCAACTAAATATACATTTCAAGAAATTTATATAATATCTACACTGCAGCAACTGCTCTGTATACATTACCCTGTTGAACATAATTTTGATAATGCTGACTACATAATTTTACATTTTTCCTTTTATTTTCTCAGATGAGAATTTATTCATATTAACTAAACCTGGAAAATCACTACTGAGGGATATATAACATTCCATTGTAACTACCATTCCACTGACGTAATGAGCAAAGCCCTTGAACCAGACATTCATTCAGCAAATATTCTAACTGGGATTATCCCAGTTCATTCAGCAACTATCAGTCAGGCTGTATTCTAGCTGGGATTATCCCAGTTAATGAAGGAGACATACAAGACTCCTTTCTTCAAGCAGCTTACATTCTAACTGGGTAGGGAGCTATTAAACAAGTAAACAAATTAATAAATAGATGAACTAGATAATCCAGTGCATGATCATCGATGTGGGATATTTGAATAAGGATATGAAGAATGGCTAGGGAGCTGGGTTATTAGTTCCTTTAGGCAAAGACACATTTAAGGAGAGAAAGCTAGACATGTGCAAAGGCTGGGAAAGGACCTTTGAGAGATAGATCTTTGAGCAGTATGTCTCATTTTGTTCAAGAAAGGGTAGAGGCTGGACGTGGTGACTGACACCTATAATCTTAGCACTTTGGGAGGCCAAGGCAGGAGGATTGCTTGAGCCCACAAGTTTGAGACCAGCCTGGGCAATATAATGAGACACCATCTCTAAAAAAAATTAGCCAGGCATGGTGGTCAGTGCCTGCAGTCCTGAGGAAGGGTAGCTAGTGCAAGTTAGATATAGATAGATAAATTTCCCATAGGCAAGTTTTAGGAAACGTTCAGACATTTTTAAAATTACACTGCAGGCCAAGCTGGCAGCCTACCAGCAAAGCAAAAGAAAATCCCATCATACGTAAGAATAGGACAGCTCAACCTATGAATTTGTGGTTTGGCATAATAACCAATAAGAAACTTTCGGGTTCCTTATCAAAGGCAAGCCGAATACCACCCTTTAACTAACCAGAGCCATAGAAATGATAGTAAGACCACCTTTTAATTCATGAAATTATGAATTGGAAACATCTGGCAGGTCTCTTGCCAAAGACAATGTGGTTAGCACTAAAGACAGCAATTGCCAAACTCTGTCAGGAGACACAATTAAACTGAACACAGGTGGTGGGTTTTGCATTGCTCAGGGTCCAAGTCAGTCCCCAAAGTGGGATTGATTTAAGTCCCTTTGAAATTGTGTCCTACACCTATAAAGAGAATGGGCCACAGACATAGACCCTGACGTACTCATAAGAAAATATATGCTGGCTGGGCACAGGGGCTCACGTCTATAATCCCAGCACTTTGGGAGGCCGAGGTGAGAGGATTGCCTGAGCCCACGGGTTCAAGACCAGCCTGGGCAACTTGGTGAAACCTCATCCCTACAATAAATTTTTAAAAAAATTAGCCAGGCATGGTGGCGCATGCCAGTAGTTCCAGCTATTTGGAAGACTGAGGCCAAAGGATCACCCAAGCCCAGCAGGTCGAGGCTGCAGTGGCCGTGAGCAAGCCACTGCACTCTAGCCTGGATGACAGAGTGAGACTCTAACTCAAAAAAAAAAAAAGAAAAGAAAATATATGTTGACCATTTAGGACAGATTTTAACCACAGTTCATAAGCTTGCTTCCTCTAGGAACACCCTGAGCCACTGAGAACCCAGCCATTCCTTCTACCTGGGGAGAGCAAGTGCTGCTTAAGGACTGTGTCCTACACCTATAAAGGGAACGGGCCACAGACATAGACCTGATGTACTGGAGTGAAGGAGGACTCGACCAGCAGCTGCAGGAAAAGTGGAAGGGACCCTAGACGTTCTGCTTGGCACTCCTCCCGCATTAAAGCTCGCTGGCACCTCTCCCAGGTAAAAAGGATACACCTGAACGAAGAGACCCTGTTTCCAGAGCAACACCACAGCCCTCAGTGGACTGCAGAGCCAGTACAGGACTTAAGGCTGTTATTTAAGCAAACAAAAAAACTCTTACTATTGGTTTTCGAACATGTTTTCTTAGCTCCCAACAGGATTAAAAGACTTCCTTTCAGGCATAGGAAAGATCTTTTTAACTGT